TATATCTAATAGCTCCGCTTGCAAGCTACTGGCTGAGTTTGTTAGATGGATAAAAATAGAGATGTCGAGATCATTGAAGTCTATCGCCGCTCCTTCTCCGCAGTCCAATTCGGAGCTGTCATTATAAGTAGAAATGTTGTTGACAATTTACAAGGCAATCGGGCGCCCGGTTCTCAAACTTGTCAAAACACTGCACTTCGGACTACGACAGGTCCCTGTCTCCTATTTCACACCTACATAGTGAGGCGCTTATACTTCCTGGATTTTTTCGCACAAATCACCCCTGCAGTCACTTGGTTAAAGCGGAACCGTCGGCTAGGTACATCAAGGGTTCATTCCTCAATTACGTCCACGACATTAGATAGTATGCCGACCAGATTTCGGACGCAACAAACTTCCGACAAGCACTGACCGCTATTCACAGTGGAGCCATCAACACTTTCACCGACTCCCCACCAGTGAATGACGTACTCGGAGTCAAATCAACATCCATCGCAGACGAAGAGTTCGAGTTGCCACGTGAAACGAGAGTGACTCTTGCGCGGCTTCGTTCTGGATACTGTAGCAGAATATATTCCTACTTGATCAGAATAGACCCCGATATCTCCAATATATGTCTTACGTGCATGAGTCTCCGCATGACACTGGCCCCATCATTGCATGCCTTACTAACCCCACTCATCTAACACCCCACTCCCTTCGGTCCGAACCCGTCTAAACAGCACATTTCTTGTGCCTTCCGTTAGATGACGTCGCCGACAACTTATCTAATCCTTCCCATCCAAACGGGGGTTAGGTACCCGTTATCACAACAACAACTCGCATTGACAACTTAAAAGAACAGCACAATCTTCAGCACATCGCACTTTTAATGCGACTTTATTATTTGCCATAAAACCTATTGTAACACCCATTTAGCAACGTATTTTTATGTGTCACTATCACCGCTCTTGTTGTAGTATAGTTCAATACAAATACAAATATATTATATATGCACATCTCAAACATTGCCTACAACAAGTTCACTGTTGTATTTTGTTGTTGCTTGGGTTTTTACGTCGCGGTTTTGGGTAATACCCAACCACTTGCTCACTTTTGTTTTGTTTTTGCTCTGTTGCAGCAGTGACTGGGAGCAGGTTGGCGTTCGACTGTCTGCTGTCACACTTGTTGTTTTTATTGCTTAAATGCCGGCAAGCGGCATTCATCGATAATGTACATATGTGTGTATAGGCAGGGGAGTATTTCGATAACATGTATGTATGTATATTATACATATGTATATGCATTGACAACTGCTGTGTTATCTTTCTGTGCATAAAAAGTGCAAATGCATCATACATCAATCTATTGTTGTTGTAGTTGTTGTTTGCGTGATGTATTGCGCCTTGGTGTGATAATATTCATTTATTGCCTAGAGTTCACAACCAATATTCCCTCTCCCCCAAAATACAACCAAATCATGCACCCACACCCACTTTTTGAGCGCGTCGTGTGAGCTTATGAGCTGTTGAGAGCAGCAAATTGCTCAATCAATTACGGTGAATATGTGTGAGTCGATTTTTCTGACTTCCATCACAAGTGATGTCGTTAATTTTTATGACGTCTGCTACGGCGTGGATTTTGTTTATGATGAGTTGAACTGACTCAGCGATATACTCAATGAGCACACGTAGGTTTGTTGTCGCGCAACGAAGACACCGGGAATTCCGACCCGTGAAGCTTCATAAGGAAGCTGTGGAAATGTGGGAAATATTTCAAATTATCAACAAACGAAAAAAGAAACACAAAAATTAAAATACTAATTTCACTTGAAACGCTTAGAGGAGGCTCTGTGCCGAAATAAAAGCGTTAAATTTCAGTTAAGATTGCGTCAGAGTATTTGACAGTTGTAAAATCTGGATTTCACCTAATTATTTTTCGAGAGGCTATGACTTAATATTTTTAAGAAAATAAAAAAGTTAATTTTAGCTTCCCCGAAGCTATAATACCACTCACAAATAAAAAAGTTTCCATAAATAAATACAATGTTATGAAGCCAGTTTGTAATTCTTGACAGATTTCTTGGGGATATGGACGGTTGGTGGAGGGATTAACTGTCAGGAGCTCTCTAGCAACTTCAGACTTCTTGACTTTTGCAGTGTCTTCCAGGCCGAGGTTGCAGCCCTTACGGCAGCAGTAGATTTACTGCTCCGGAGTGCAGCCTTCTTCTGAGAAGTGACCTGTGATAGCAGAGCGCCGATACTAGTCTTGAACTCATTAACAATGCATTCAGGGCTGGTCAAAGCGGACCTAACCTCGCTACCAATAGCATTGAGTGTCTTTGTGATAAGACTGGTATGGGTACCAGGCCACAGCTGAAACGCAGGAAGCTTATGAGCTAGAAAGAACCGCAATCTTTAGAACGGATGCGTGATCTTCTTATGTTCTAGATAGCTGGTTTTTCGCGGAAGCATGGCCAGCGCTGATCCAAAAGCCTTCTTGTCTAAGACAGAACGCAATATGGTTAGTGATCTATTTGTCCTCAGTAAGGCTAGCCCTTCCCTGGTTTTTGGACTTTTAACGAATCATTTGCGAAAGGTGTATGAAGGAGATGAGACGGAAATAACTCAACACTTTTGCGTTTGACACGTCAAGTCTTAGACACTTGGGAACGGCTACCTTCAGACATCCCAAAGAGCTGGAGCAAAAAGTTTACACGTCAACCTGATTATCTTAATCTGGCGACCCCAGCGACTATCTCCTAATCTCAAAACAATGCTCGCTGGGATGAAATTTTCGTCAAATGAAGAGTTGTTCACCGAAACTGAGGCCTATTTTGAAGCAGAGGACAAATCGTACTGTAAAAGAAGTATCGACACGTTGGAGAGTCGCTATATTCAATATATCAGTATTGAAGGGAACTATGTTGAATAAAAAGATAATTCTGCTAAAAAATTTGTTTTACTATGGCAGTCCGTGGACTTTTCAATTGACCTGTAAACTCCATTCGATAACTGGGTTGTGGCCTTTGCATGTAATTTTTATTAATAAGCGAACAGGGAATGACGAATCGAACACAACTTATATTGATACATTTCTAGAATTAACACTATTTTCTTCCAGTGATACAAAGCCTTCAAAGACGGTTGAAAGATCGTTGAAGACATGCTACATTCTGGACAACTTTCGATCTCTTCAACTAATGACAATATTAAAAATAAGTAAAGGATCTGGTGCTTGAAAATCGTCAGACAAGTGTGAAAGAGATGGCAAGAGAGCTAGACATCTCTCGCGAGTCCGTTTGAAAGAGTTTGGTGGATATTTTGGTTATAAAACGCCTTCTTATTCGACTCGTCCCGATAAAGCGGCGTTTTTTTTTTTGAAAAAAAAAGTACCGTAAACAGATCTTTTTGGACATGCTTGATCATGCGAGTATAACATGCGTTAACGAGTTTGATGTCAACAACAAATCAACAATCAACGGAATGGAGGAGAAAAAAATTAGCCGACACAAAAAAAACCACGTCGAGACCACTGAAAAATCAAGGTGATGCTCATTGTTTTTATCGATATTCTTGGTTTCTTGCATCATGAATTTGTTAAGGATGGACAGACGGTTCATAAAGAGTGCTATTTGGCCACATTGAGTGGTTTGGTAGTATTCGAGAGAACAACCGTCGAAAACGATTGGAATTATAGAAGAGCAATTCATAGATTTTACACGAAGATAATGCACCATCGCATCGATCGAACCACGATTGTGACCAAATTTTAAGCCAAATTAGGCTCTATGCGATTTCTTCTTGTTCGATCGAAGAGATAAAACAAAATTCGTTGAAGGAGCTGAAAGCCATCCCAAAAAGTTCTTATGAAAAGTGTTTCTAGGAGTGGAAAAGTTGTTGGCACAAGTGTATTACAGGTGATGGGGATTACTTTGAAGGTCACAAAATAAATATTAATTAATTAATAAATGTTACAGTGTTATCAAATATGTATATTTCTGGAATATTGAACAAAAATGGTTACAAACTTCCACGATAACATTGTCTTATGGTCTTATTATCAAAAATATTCGGTAGTAGTTCAAACCAAAAATCCACATATAACGGATTCATAGAATAATATAAATAATAGAATAATAAAAATAAGTCATTGATAACCCCATCGCACATTCTATTTTCAGGTACTACTTGTTTAAATGAAATTAGCTGGAATTTACTTCAAATTTTTCTGGTATTTTTAGTCGTAAAAACGGAAGACCCTAAAGTGAATTTTCCCCAAAAACCGTTATCATTATTATCAGCACTGTTAGATTAAGAGTGTCTGTGTCTAGCAGCCTCTTTCTCCAACACATCAATGACATGCAGTTCAATCACTCCAAATCAACATATCAGCATAAAATATGTGCCATAAATGATTAAAGCAGCACAACTGTTGAGATGAATGAAATTGCAGTGAAACAAGTTATGCTCTTAAATTATACGCTGAGCGCGCAGCAAAGCCACAGATGCATGTAGAAATGACGCTTTAACGCTTAAAGTCAATGTCAAAACCAAACAGCAAAATTGAAGTCACAATCCGCTTGTCAAACAAGTTTAGCCCGCTGAATTGGAAAATATGTAAAGTTGTCGGTATGTATATGCAACATAATTACTAAAAACAACAAAAAAAACTATAGTGAGCACAACTGCAGCGGCATTTCTGAACGGTCGAGATGGCAGCGCGCGAGCAATTGGCGATAACTAAGCGTTTCTTTATAGCAGCAACAAATAGCGGGGTCTAAGTGAGGGCACAGGCGTCTGCACGAGATAAGAAGTACTTCGTGCGCCACTGATACGCGGGGGATCCAAAGCAGCCGGTTATAATCGTGATCGCGAGAGGGAGTATGACTCAAGCGCGCTGGAGAGCGGTCTCAGCTGACTTATGACAATATTTGCGACAAACACGCCAAAAAGCTGTGCACAACAATAAGCGAGTATAAAACCAGCGAGCGCCAAGTTTTAGCATCACAGTCGTTAAACAGTCGAGATCACGTCAAAACAGCGGCGACTCCGAAGAAAGTAGCATTCGCAAAGTGAAATAAGACGCATTAGTAAGCAATTCGTAAATTCGCGATCGTGCGATTTTCATTTCATTAAAAAACAAACACAAAGTTAAACAAAAAACAATTATGCCAAACAACAACAACAAACAATGCAACACTTTCGCCTTTGTCAGCTTGTTGTTGGTGCTGCTGCAAATGGCCGCGGCGCAGCGTCCCTCCTTTGCGGGCATACGGCCACCGGGACTCAATCAAAAGGACAAATACAACATGAACAACAACAACAATAACAACAGCAACGTGGATATTGGCAACCGCTTTGGACAACCAGATGAGCCACCAGCACTGGCGTTTGGTGCCACACAAAAGCCACCAGCGAGTTACATACCAATAGTCTTCCCCGAGTCCAACTATCTGCCCATGGCCACACCAACCGCACGACCTGTAGCCGATGGTATTGCGAATCGTTTTGGCAGCGGCGATGCTGATAATGTGCAACAAAATGTTAATACAGTAATCAGCGCGGCCGCCAGACCCGTTGTCAGTGGTGCGCCAAATCGCTTGCCAATCGACGCGAAAGACGATAGTGAGCTGGTGGCTATACTTAATCGCCTGCCCGAAGATCAAAGGCCTTTCTGGTTCATCAATGCGGCGGCAATCGAAGCGCAAAGAAACGGTTCATTCGCGAATTTCGCCGGCGCGATCAACTCGCGGGGCAGCTTCTTCGGCTAAAGTATTATATAAACCAAACACACTGGATTTTCTCGCATGCGCATTTTAACATTTAAGCTTAAGCCTCTAGTATTTATTTTTGATATTTTCAAATGTGTTTAAATTAGTCATAACCGTTTCCATAATCGAATCATTGTAATGCTTGACAGTCTGCGCTGTTCGAGTATGAAAATCTCATTATATTATGTTAAGTATATACCGTTTGGCATATATCCATATACACGATTATTATATATACACGAATGTACATATGTATTTCAGTAGCACAGATTACTTGCCAAAGCAATTATTTTCGAACGAGCCATACCTGCCTTTATTCGAAACGTAAAATCTCATGTCACAAAAAGCTGCGCTAAAGCAATCACAGAAGCATCACTGAGCAATAAGTTGTAAATAGCAATAAAAAAAAACCCACAAAGTGGGATTTGCAATAACAAGCTGATTGCTTTTTACCTTTGTACTTCATGTACTTTTTGATATTTTTAGCTCGGCTTTTTGCCCAAAAATAAACCATTGTTGCTTTGAAGACGCGGTAAGCAATCAATTCATGGGTTAAAGAAAGATCAAGAATCGCGCAATTAAGAATATATATAATATTACACAAAATCACCGAAAGTTGTGCTAATCTCGCTGCGCTGAATAATAAGCTGCGACTACAACCCAAACAGCACGACTATTTCAGCTCAGTTGGATTCACGCTCTCAACGCTCTCAAACAAAACAATAATTTGGCTGGAGTGCAGTGATACGTATCTATTGAAATTCACACTAAAATATATTTTCACAAGTTAATCTGTAGCTTCGATACTAAAAGCAAGTTAAAAAGTTAACTTCGGTTGCGCCGAAGCCATTATACCCTTTACAAATACACAAGCTTCCTTACAACCACTTGATAATGATCGTTCACTTATGGTCAACATAATCGGTTTACTGAGCGTACTATTCGAAACACCATCACCCATCTTGAGACCTAGCATTCATTATTGGATAAAATTCGACCGAATAGATCACATTTAGCAAGCAGTGCAAAAAATATTGCAGGCGTAGCTGAGTGTGTAGACGAAGACCGTGGGGAGTTTCGTTTGACGTATGGAACTACCTCACGCATTTTAAGTCGACATCTTAAAATGAAAGCGTACAAAATACAGCTTGTGCAAGAACTGAAGCCGCTAGATCTTTCCAAGCGATATCACTTCGCTTCATGTACTCTTGAAAAGTTCCAAGAAGGCCCGATCTGTTCGAGACAGATTTTGTTCAGCCATTTCTGGTTCAATGGGTATGCATCTTTTCGCACGTAACGTCCAATCGCCCGAATAAGGAACAGATCATTATATGTTATTTTTCAGATTTTAACTGATTTATAGATAGATATAGAGATTGAAATGGCTGTCTGAGCAAGCGAATTAGCTTTGCAGTTAGTTGCAATACCGCTGTGTCGGGCAGCCAAATCAGTCCAATCATGTAATAGCTCGATGCTATAAGTAAAAAGTCTAGACCTTTCAATAATTATGCGTTCACAGTCAGCGAGCTCAAGGCTAATATCGCTGCTCTTCTATCGAAGTCGATAGTCATTACTCTGAAGAAGACTGCTCTCCTGCGGAGTAGATCTACTGCTACCGCTTGGAAGACGGAAGCTGATGAATATTTCTTGACAGTATATTCCACCAACAGTTATAATAAATATAAAGGTAGCATAAAGGTGACGAAGGAAAGTGAAGAGATGTCGAAACCGATGCCCAGCTCTGTCTGGGTGCGAGTGCTGCTCCTGGGGCGACAGAAATGTTGCTGGCAAAATGCAGCAACAAGACCGACACCCCATTAAGAGTTTTTATCTCAACCCATTTTATGAGCAATAAGATGGGAGAAGCCAGTGAATAGAGCCTTCATTCCTGACGGAATCATAATAATCATAAAGACTGACAGGGGGAAGAAGCAAGTCGGCGCTAGCTGGGAAAATAAAGACATACCGCCGCTTGGCGGCCAAAATCGTGAAAAACTACTGTGCTAAGCACGCTGGTAAGATATACTACGAGTAGCAGTGTGCTAATACACTCAAGTAGGCCAAGAAGGCACGGAGCGAGAGCGAAGACGATAGTTACCCCGAACAACTGAATCCAAACCAGCGGTTAATCGACAAAGGTCGCATGAGGCGGACGTCTCCCTGGGTTAGGATTGCGAACGGGGGCTGCGCCAACCTTTAGCAGGCGCCATCTCTCGCTAGGAATGGCGGCTACTTCGACAGTCTTCCTAAAGGTAATCAGGGGCAATGATGAACAATCGATTGGTCTATGTAAGGAGGCAGTTTCTCGGGTGGGGATAGGTTTGGAAGGGAGCCTATTGGAAACTGTGATATATGAAGCGTGACAGTGGGCGCCAATGTGATCTTTTCATAGCCTTCCACCAAACCACAATTAGGCTTAACTATGGTTTCATAGAGCAAAAGAACTATCATTCTTTTAAATCGACGCAGTACCGGGCAGCCGGTTGCTCTTTCGCATATGTTTGGTTTTCACGAGCATTTCCGGTCTAGGATGGATCCCAGGGACTTAATTCTGTCAGCAGATCAGAGAAAAAAGAGACGAATCATACTTTAGTCATCCTTTGTGTCCTATTTGGTCCAGAAATATGGTTTTACTTGTAAGATGTGGTCTGAAAGAGTATGCATATTTTCCTCTCGTACAATTATCATCAACATCAACCGTTTTGATACCAGTAAAATATGTATGTACAAATGTTCGGTTTTAACCGAAATTATGTATATATTTTTAAGCTTTTGATACTTATGTTCGTAACTTTTAAACTGCGTGAGCTTGGTTGAATGTCGAGCTGAACTACAGTTATGCACACGAAAAGTAAAATTATCTCACAAACTTATAAGCTAATAATATACCGTTATTGTCGATTTGAACAATTTCACCAAACAGTATTATCTCCCAGCTTTATGTAATATTTACTCCCACTATAAAGAGCACTCACGCACTTACTTGCAGCTGCCGCAGCTGTTGAAAAGTATCATAAATAAACCACTTATCCGTTAAAAGTTGAGATTTAAAATTAAAAGCATTGAAAAACATAATATTATTGTTCTGCCAACTAGAAACCATTACACACATACACAAACACACCGACACTGCCGAAGACTCAAATATAGTTGGTTAATGTCCGAAGATGAAACTCAGTAAACTGTAAGCCGAGTAGGTGCCAGCAGACGCTGTGAGTTGAGGATGAGCTAATGGACATATTTACTTGCGTATAGGTGTATGTGTGTGTGTGGAGCAAAGTAAAGTATCAATAATGACGTTGACCAGAGGAAATTGCTCACAAGTGTACACACTAACTAATCCTTCCAGCAGCCGCCAACAGGAACCGTAAGCCAATGAAATGGAACTTTGCAACAACCAGGACACCGACTGGTGGCTGGGTTGGCCGCAGCCAAACCAAGGACAACAATGACAGCCAACAGCAAAGTTAATTTCCCGCAATAACACTCAACGCAATTTCTTGTGTCATCAAATAAATTTCTTACTGCTGTGACTGCTGTTGCCACACGCAAGCGCGCTGACGACATGGCTGCTGATAACGATGCTACTTGAGCGAGCGATGTCCCAGCGTGTTGACTTAGCGCTTATGATGGCTATGTATACACATGTATAGCTGTAGGTGTGTTGTGTGTGTGTGTGTGTGCAACACATGGTGTTATAAACAGCTGATTCGCATTGTTGTTGGACGCCTTAGCGCACATTTGAGTAAATAATGCCAATAATCGTAAAAATTTGTGGAATGGCATATTGAATGTTGCAGTGCTGATACCCACACATACTGCATGGCTGCAGCTTAGCCGGGCACTCATGGCGCCGACAAATACATGAAATGCACTTGGCCATAAAAAATGGTGAGAATGGAGCAGACATTAGAAATTATCAGAAGCGTAATAAAAAATTAAGTATAATTAAAAGAAAGTGAAGACTTTTAAGAATTAGTAAAGCAAAAGTATATATGCTTGGCATAATACGCGGAGATGCTGAAACCGATACCCCAATCGATGACGAAAGAGTGGACGTTCCTTTGACCGTTCTTGAAGAAGTTCGAATAGCAATTATCCGTCTGAAGTACAACAAAGCAGCGGTGACCGATGGATTGAGAACTGATAAGGAACATGCATGCAGGCGAAAGCATGACCGCTGATTGTAAGTTAAGTGAGCTCAGCTCAATCCACAAAAAGAGAGACCCCACACTACCACGGGATAAGCCTCCTAAACATCGTATATAAGGTTCTATCGAGCGCTCTAAGTGAAAGATTAGGAATGGAAAATCAAAAACTAATCAGATATTCATAATGTGCCAAATCTTGAAAAAGGCCCGTGAAAAGAGGATCGACACACAAAACATCTTCGTCAATTCGTCAGAAAAAGTAAACTGAAGTCGAGCATAACCAATAGTTTCGGCAGAATGGGGAAGGACTTCTCCGAACTGTTCGATAGCAAACAAGGTTTCATACATGGCGACTTCCTATCGTTCAACTTCTTCAATCTACGCCTGGATGGAAATAGTTCGAGCTGCAGATCTGATTAGAGAAAGCACATTCTTCCATAAGGGGGTACAGCTGCTGACGTCCACCGATGATATTGATACCATTGGCTTCAACAACCGCGCCGTTAGTGCTGCTTTCTCCAGACTAGAAAAGGAAGCGAACCAGATGAGTCTGGTATTGAACGAAAGCAAGACGAAATATGTCCGGTTCTCGGATATAGAGTCATCGCACTCGCGACTTGGCATGACATGGTAATGTCACTGTGGACAGTCATAACTTCGAAGTCGTAGATAATTTCGTCTATCTTGGAACCAGTATTAGCATCAACAAAAACGTCAGTCTCGAAATCCAACACAGAATATCTCTTGCCAACGGGTACTACTTCGGACTGAGTAAGTCACTCATAATTTCCGTCCTGCTATATGGTGCAGAGCCATGAACGATGACAACATCTGATAAGTCGACGTTACAAGTTTTCAATAGAAAGGTTCTGGGGAAAATGTTTAGTGCTTTGCGCATTGGCAACGGCGAATACCGAACTCGATGGAACGATAAGCTGTACGAGATATACGACGATATTGACATTTCAGCGAATTAAAAGACAGCGTCTACGCTGGATAGGTCAGTCGTCCGAAGGGACGAAAATACTCCAGCTCTGAGAGTATTCGACGTAGTATCCTCGGCGAGCAGCAGAAGAAGAGGAATACCTCCACTTCGTTGGAAAGACCAAATGGAGAGGGACCTGGCTTCGCTTGAAATCTCCAATTGGCGCCAAGCAGCGAAAAGGAAGAACGACTGTGGCGCTGTTGTTAACTCGGCTATAGCCGCGTAAGCGGTGTCTACGAACCTAAAGAAAAGAACATAATGATTATTACAGAGTCGCCTTGTTTTTTTCTATGCTATTTGTCAAAT